AATTTCTGAATTAAATAGCCTCAGTTTATACTCCACCATCAACCCCTACTCCTGCCCCTGAAGCTACTCCAACTATTACCCTAATCTAAAAAGTCAAAAACATATAACCGCACATAGCTTTACACAGAAATTTTTGAGTAGCATTTTCAAAATATTGAGTTTTTTAGAAAAATAAAAATATCTTGGTGAATTCTTGTTCAAATTGTATAAAACTTTCAAAATATATACAACTTAATGAGCTTAATAACTTTAATTAAGAAACTAAAGCTGGTTTATTAGTAAAATTTTGAATGTTATATATAAAAACAATTTGCAAATTTTTATTTTTTTAAAAAAAATATATGGTATGAGAAGGTGACATTAGCAAAAATAAAGGCGACAATAGCAATTTCCTTTTTTAAATACTTTAATAATTGTTTATAAAATATGTATTTCTAAAAAATTAATTTATTATTTTAATAAAGAAATTTAATTTATAGTGCTAGGGTATTGTAACCAATTAAAATTTAAGATCAGGTGTAACATGCAGATTATCCTTTGTGTAACAAAAACAATAAATTTTTAAAAAATTAGTTATATATTTAAAAAACTATCTTTTGTGTTTTAATAAAAAAAATTCCTTGCAAAATTTTAGTATAGCCTATACCCTGCCTAACCTTAACCTCTGCTTTAAACTAAACTAATTAAAAGGTTTATTTTTTGTAAAGATTTTAGATTGTTTTGATTTACATGTTACACCAATTTGTATTTACATATAGGGTAGCACTATGGCACTATAGCACTATAATAATATTCCCTTTAATAAATACAGTATATAACAGATAAAAAAGATATTTCTCAAAATTTATTATTAATAGATTCAGTAATACTTTATTAAAAAATTAATTTGGTCATTAATTCTATAATACTTTATTAAAAAATTAATTTGGTCATTAAAATTTTATTAAAAAATTAATTGGATCATTAATCCTATAATTCAAGAATAAAAAAAAATTTTAAAAGATCTTTTAAATTTATTGTTATAAAAATGAACAATTGTGCAAAAGAGATATTAGGACGATATTGGAACAATTATTGATTTAATTGTTATGTGCATTATCTAGATAAATGTTTTTGAAATGTGTTTTTGTGTCTTACAAATAAGTTTATATGACCGTTACGTAAAAATAAATTATTAAACTCTAAATAAAATAGGGTGAGATTTGATATTCGTTAGTAAACTAGGCTTAAAAATTCAAAGTCATCTTAATTGTAGCAAACTTTATCGAATAACTTTATGTTATGGAATGTTGGTTTAAATAATAAGTATGAAAGAAATGACGGCCAATAAAATGAATGAACCAAGACTTTTACAAGGAGATGATGTTCCGGCAGCAGATTTAGTTGGAGTAGCTTCAGGGGCAGGAGTAGGGGTTGATGGTGGAGTATAAACTGAGGCTATTTAATTCAGAAATTAATGAAGTTAATAGTTATCAAAGAGAAATTTAGATTGATAAATTTGAGTACGTACGTGCAGTGCCACTTGGCTTAATCGAAAACGACTCGGATGAGGCATAAATCATTGAGGCATTAGAAAGGTGGGAGAAGTAAATGAAAAAACCTACAACGAATTCATGAATTGGTTTGACATATATGTGCATACAACGAGTATTAATTTACATAATCTTAATTACCTGTCTCTTTACCGTAATTATCGGAAAGGGTAATATTTGTTTTTTGAAGACTAGTAGGAACGGTGTTTGCAAGAGCAAGACCACTTCCAATTGCTAACTGAGGTAAATCCTATACATAATCATCATTTATAGTATTATTTGAATGTTAATAATATAAAAAATCATAAGAGCATTATGGAACTAAACTTACATTATTTCTCAAATAAATGTTGAAAGATGAGGGATCCGTTGAATTAGTAGTCCACATAACATATTGAGAACTACCATATACCCAATAATATTGTGATGACGGATAAACAATTTCGATTGCGGCTACACCAAATTCATTCGAAAATTGAATGCGCAATGATTTTAAATAATTATTTTATAGTTCGTCTTAAGCATCTTTTTTCTTTTTCTCTTTTTTTTTACACTTACATGCTGAAAAGGTTGCAAAAGCAATCAATAAAAATGAGAAGATATAACCACGCATGTTTATAAAATTTGATATATTTGAAAGAATCTCGTTTGATATTTGTTCAAGTCGACTTCAAAAGAGAAGAGAGTTTTCATGAAAATATTGGGAATAGAAAGTAGTTTTATGCGAGAAGCATATTTTCTAGGGTAATTTAATAAGATCTTGCAGGGACATTCTCTACAAAGATCGTCAAGATTCATAAAATAAACCAACACATTTTTAGTAGATAACACTAAATATAAAATTTTATAATTAGTATATATACGTATTACATTATTTGCATGTGTGTGATCGCGCCATACCTGAATCTAAATTTATAGTTGGTCATTCATACGTTTCTCAAATATTTCTCAAATATAAAATATATATCTATTTTAATTTTGAACAAAGTCTTTATTGAACCCGAATTGCTTTAAAGTGGTGTTGTGTTGTAAATGTCATAGGATTTCGGGGTTAGGGTGTAGGGTTTATATAACATGAATTCTACCCTAAAATTATATTAATCTATGTACATATGTAGGTACGTGCGTACGTACAACGATAACTCAAACTTGTACGTACGTAACATTTTTTAATTAATTAACGTATCGACGTATGATAGGCATATTTATCTCTATGAACATAATAGTTTGTTGTGTTTATAGCTAGCCTCGTACGTACGTACGTACGTAAAACTAACAAGGTTAAAAAAGAAGAGTTTAATTGTCACGTATCATGATATACAGTGGCTCTCGATATAACGGAGGCCATGGTCCCAGTCCTTTGCCCGTTATATCAAAAGCTCCGTAATATCAAATCTATGAGATATAGTAAATCATAAATTTGGTTCCATTATAATTCCCGTATTAAGCAATACCCGTTATATCGATGGTCCGTTATATTGAGAGCCACTGTGTATATAAAAAACCTGTGTAAAATTGGTTTTTTCAATGGTCACGACATGTAGCAATTTAACAACCTCCTTTTTTAACCCCTCATCACTACATAAAACTACTTTGAAAGTTTATATTTTGCATGGCTCTTGTGACCAAACCGTTATTTTTGAAAAAGGGAATACACTATTCAATGTATACAACTTCAAGAAAGGATACTCGAACAGGATCATGTGAGAACAGTCAATATCGATATCTGGTGTAGCGTAAAAATTAAAAGCGCCTAAAAATATTAGGTTCAATTTAGAACCTTAATAATTGTGGCAGATTTAAGATTATATAAATGAAATTATGAGATATAGTGTAAAATAGACAAGCCACCGAAAATTACAAATTTTTTTGGGGTGCATTTTTTTAGCTTTTTTTAGAGTTAGGATTAGGGTTTAGGTGTAAGTTTTATAATAACAAGTGGGTTTTAGGCAGGGTTGTCAATGGTAAACTTACCGTGGTAAGTTATCAATAAGTGTCGCGGATCATAATTTAAAATGAAACCTACATTTTCTACTCAACCTGTTAACCTTCTAAAACCCACAAATACTTGTTTATTATAACTTTATTTTAAAACTAACCCCTAACTCTAACCCCAAAAAAAATTATTTTTCGAGATTTTATATTATAATTTCATTTTGATCTGGATTTCATTATGATCCGTCACAATGGTTGACATAAACCACGGAAACTTTCGGAATAAAATACAGGATAAAAATTGCCGTAATTTTACAACCCGTTAGGGAAACCCCTCATTATGATCTGCGACAATAATTATTATAATTACATATAAGCTTTGATCAACAATAAAACTACAGTTCTTTTCAGCATGAATATATTGAGTCTGACTCAATAACTACTTATGAGCAGAGTTCTAAGAACCATATATTAATGCGTACTAGTTATCAGTCGTGTCGTAGATGATAACTGATTATTCATCTACTAAAGACTCGACTGATAACTTTGTTATCAGACATGTCTTTGTAAGCACTAAATGATCTCCGTGTAACTTATTCGACCACCACACCACTTAATACAAATTTTCACAAGAGGTGAGCGAAATTTTGTATACTGTATTAGGAGGTGACCGAATAAGTTACACGGAAATCATCCAGTGATCGCGTCTGATAAGAATATGTTATTTGTTAAGATTGATGATAGGACTAATTAAGAACTAGCTCGATCTCAGATATGGTTTATACTGAACTTTTTAAGAAGCAAGTCGAATCGTGTCCATTTACAGTAACATTCCTAATCATTATCGTTACGCATGAACCAAATTTCGGATCGACTTCTAATCAACTGGCTTGCTGAGTAGAACCGATTGGACTTTTAACATCCATAAGTGTATGTAAATTAGGGAAATACGCTCTTATAGTGAGATATACTCATAATGTCACATGAAATTACATTGGTGATATGCATTGCAAAGGGAAAGGTGCCAGGATATACTTATGGTGGACTGTCTGGTCTATTATGGTCTTCATTCTTAAGATTTTGTTAATCTAGACCAGTCCAGACTGGTCCGGTCTTAAGACTTAGAGCAGACCAATTTTTTTCGAGTTTAGACCGGTTTTAAGACTAACCGTGGTCTATTGGTCTAAGACCACATAACATCCCTAATGAAATCCTGAACAAGGACCAAAATGTAATATACAACGAGTGTTTTGTTTTGCTAAAAATACAATGAATGGTATGATTATATAGGCCAGACTTACCCTTGATTGACATGGGTTAATCGGTACGTACGTACTTCGTGGTGCCGGAGCTGGAGCTTTACTTATTTTGCCAGTAATATAAACCCTAAAAGAAAATAACCAATAAACAAAATTGAAGATTCTATTAATAAATTCGAAAGTTTTTTAAAACTTCTTGCGATGATTTCTCAATAACTAGATCAAATTCAGTAAAAATTTTTTTATTTTAATTCAGTAATTCTGTAGAATAAAAAGAAAAAAAGTTCATAGAATTTGATTTAGTAGTTGTTGAGAAATCATTGCTAAAAGTTTTAAAAACATAAAATATCTTGAAAAAAAAAATCAAAATCGTGTAAAATTTTTTTCTTTAAACTTTAAACGAAGATTTCTCAACAACCAACTATTTGAATTTGATGAAATTTTTTTATTTTAATTTTGGGGATTTATAGAATTAAAATAAAAAAAATAGATCGAATTTGAATAGCAATATTTACAGTTCTACTAGTAGTACCAGATAGTACAGATAGCTGATTGTCAAGAAATATTTATTAAAAGTTAAAAAAAGATTGACTACAGCTTCTTTTTTAAAGATATCTAAATTTTAAATAAAGATTACTTAGCATTTATCTGGTCAAATTTGATTATTTTAATTTTATAATTATATAAAATTAAAATAAAAAAAATTAATTAAACCAGGTAAGTGTCAAGTAATCTTTATTCAAAGTTTAGATGCTTATAAAAAAAGCTGCAATTATATAGTGGCCTACTATATTTTTTTTTTGAATATTAATGGTGAGACCATGTCTCTGTCTTTATTGAAATTTAATTAAAATCTTTTATACAGA